AGGGGGGGACCCCAAAGTTTAGTGGGGTGGGGGGGGGTCTTCATCGATATTTTAGGATATTTTGGGATATTTTGGGGTGTCACTCACAGCACTTGCAGCAGGGCTGGGGAGGATGGGGGAGCTGAGGTGGTGGAGGATTTTGGGGTGATTTAGGATAAATTGAGGTCATTTTGGGTATTTTTAGGGATATTTTGGGGTGATTTTGGGGTGTCACTCACAGCATTGGCAGCAGGGCTGGGAGGATGGGGGAGCTGGAGGTGGTGGAGGATTTTGGGCTATTTTAGGATATTTTAGGATATTTTGGGGTATTTTTGGGGTGTCACTCACAGCATTGGCAGCAGGACTGGGGGGGATGGGGGAGCTGGAGGTGGTGCAGGTTTTTGGGGTATTTTTAGGGTATTTTAGGATATTTTAAGATATTTTTAGGGTATTTTATGATATTTTTGGGGTGTCACTCACAGCATTGGCAGCAGGGCTGGGGGGAATTGGGGAGCTGGAGGTGGTGGAGGATTTTGGGGTGATTTTGGTTATTTTTGGGGTCTCACTCACAGCATTGGCAGCAGGACTGGGGGGGATGGGGGAGCTGGAGGTGGTGGAGGATTTTAGGATATTTTAGGATATATTTAGGATATTTTTGGGGTGATTTTGGGTATTTTTAGGATATTTTTAGGGTATTTTAGGATATTTTTGGGGTGTCACTCACAGCATTGGCAGCAGGGCTGGGGGGGATGGGGGAGCTGGAGGTGGTGCAGGTTTTTGGGATATTTTAGGATATATTTAGGATATTTTTGGGGTGATTTTGGGGTGTCACTCACCGCATTGGCAGCAGTGCTGGGAGGATGGGGGAGCTGGAGGTGGTGCAGGTTTTTGGGATATTTTAGGATATATTTAGGATATTTTTGGGGTGATTTTGGGGTGTCACTCACCGCATTGGCAGCAGTGCTGGGAGGATGGGGGAGCTGGAGGTGGTGGAGGATTTTGGGGAATTTTAGGATATTTTGGGGTCTCACTCACAGCATTGGCAGCAGGACTGGGAGGAATGGGGGAGCTGGAGGTGGTGCAGGTTTTTGGGATATTTTAGGATATTTTGGGTATTTTTGGGGTGTCACTCACAGCATTGGCAGCAGGACTGGGAGGAATGGGGGAGCTGGAGGTGGTGGAGGTCGGGGTGCTGCTGCTCTGGTTGAAGATCTCGTCCTCCATCTGGGAATGGCTGGGGGGGGACGTGGCCACCAGAGCCTGCGCTGGGGGGGCACAGGGGGCACGGGGGGGGCACTGTGAGCATCCCCCCCACCCAAAGAAAAACCCCAAACCCACCCAAAAAAATTCCCTTTCCCAACCCCCTTTGGCTCCCCAAAAACCCCACGTGAGACCCAAAAAATCCTGAAAAAAATCCCAATATTCCTCCCAGAAAATCCCATTTTTCCCCATTTCCCTCCCTGGTTTTTTGCATTTTCTCCCATTTTCATCCCCATTTTTTCCCATTTTTTTGCGTTTTTCCCCGTTTTCCCCATTTTTCACCCCATTTTCCCCTCCCTACGGATGTCGTCGAGGTCAAGGTCGTTGTAGAGGACCTTGTTCTCCACTTTTCCCCGTTTTCACAGGTCATCGTAGAGGAACTTGTTCTCCAATTTTCCCCTTTTCCCCCCCATTTTCTCCCATTTTCCCCCCATTTTTTCCCATTTTTTTGGGTTTTTTTTCTATTTTTCCCTGTTTTTTCACATTTTTTCCCCGTTTTTTCCCATTTTCCCCGTTTTTGCCCCCATTTCCCCTCCCTACGGATGTCGTCGAGGTCCAGCTCATTGTAGAGGAACTCCTTCTCCAATTTTCCCCTTTTTTCCCCCATTTTTTTGCGTTTTTTTTCCTATTTTTTTGCGGTTTTTTTCCTATTTTTCCCTGTTTTTTCACATTTTTTCCCCGTTTTTTCCCATTTTCCCCGTTTTTCCCCCCATTTCCCCTCCCTACGGATGTCATCCAGGTCCAGGTCGTCGTAGAGGAACTCGTTCTCCTCGAAGTCGGGCTCCTGGCACGAATCCACGTAGTACTCCACGTCGTCCTTGAGCTTGCGCACGGGGTCCACGGGGATGGAGTCGTTGTCCAGCATGCGCAGCAGCGTCTCCAGCATGCGCACGTGGAAGCGGTGCCGCTCCACCTGCCGCTTCAGCGCCTCGATCCGGTCCTGCTTCTGGGGGAAAAAATGGGGAAAATGGTAAAAAACAAATTTATAATTCCTAAAAACCACAATAGAACAATGGGATCCACGGGAATGGGGTCAGGGATCCATGGGATCCCCCGGGGATGGAGGCCCAGCATGCGCCCGTGGCAGCGGTCCCGCCCCACCTGCCGCTTCAGCGCCTCCATCCGCTCCTGCTTCTGGGGAGAAAAACCGGGAAATTGGTAAAAATGAGATTAAATATTCATAACAATCACATGAGAGCAAAGAAATCCACGGGAATGGGGTCAGGGATCCATGGGATCCCCCGGGGATGGAGGGCCAGCATGCGCACGTGGCAGCGGTGCCGCTCCACCTGCCGCTTCAGCGCCTCCATCCGCTCCTGCTTCTGGGGGAAAAACACCCAAAAACGGGAAAAATGAGATAAAAAACCCCTAAAAATCAGAATTTATCCCTAAAAATGGGTTCAGGGATCCTGAAATGTGGGGTCAGGGATCCCCCGGGGATGGAGGCCCCATGGGGGTGTGGCAGCGGTGCCGCTCCACCTGCCGCTCCAGCGCCTCCATCCGCTCCTGCTTCTGGGGGAAAAAATGGGGAAATTGGTAAAAATTAGGTCAGGAATTCCTAAAAATCAAAATTTATCCCTAAAATGAGGACAGGATCCCAAAAAATGGGGTCAGGGATCCCTGGGCTGGATCCCCCGTGGGGCTGTGGCAGCGCCTCCATCCGCTCCGGCTTCTGGGGGATTTTGAGGCAATTTTGGGATATTTTGAGGATTTTTGAGGTGGTTTTGGGTTCTTTTTGATGTTTCTGGGATATTTTGTGTGAATTTTGGGTAATTTTGGGATATTTTGGGTGAATTTTGGGTTCTTTTTGAGGATTTTTGGGACATTTTGGGTGGTTTTGGGGTGACTTTGAGACTTTTTGGGGTATTTTGAGGTGATTTTGGGTTATTTTTGATGGTTTTGGCATATTTTGGGTTATTTTTGATGTTTTTGGCATATTTTGGGTGAATTTTGGGTTATTTTTGAAGATTTTGAGATGATTTTGGGTTAGTTTTGGGATATTTTTGATGCTTTTTGGGATATTTTTGATGTTTGTGGGATATTTTGGGTTATTTTTGATGTTTTCGGGTTATTTTTGATTTCTTTTTGATGTTTCTGGGATACTTTGTGTGAATTTTGGGTTATTTTTGAGGATTTTGGGACATTTTGGGCGTTTTGGGGGTGACTTTGAGACTTTTTGGGGTATT